TTATTGCTGCATTACCTGCATATAAGAGAAGCTCATTAGAACTGGCCATTTTAAAATCATTAATATATAATAATAATAATAAAAAAGTAATGGACCTAGTACACTCCCTTGCGGAACCCCATATGAAATGGTCAAACAATCTGAAAACACCCCATTTAAATCTACTATTTGATACCTATATTCAAGGTAAGACTTAATCCATTTACAGGCTGCATTACTAAAACCCATTGCTTTAACTTTTAAAAGCAGAATACTGTGATCGACTGTCTCAAAAGCTTTTTGCAAATCTAGCAGTGCCATCCCACTTAACTTACCTTTATCCATTTCTTTCCTTATATAATCCGTTATTTATAAAATTGTTGTCTCAGTGGAGTGTTTCCTCCTAAAACCAGACTGAAACTCATACAATATATTATACTTAAGATAGTCTTCAATCTGCTCAAATATAATCTTTTCCATCACTTTTGATAAAGCACTCAAAACTGACACCGGCCTATAAATATTACACTTAAACCTACTGCCTTTCTTAAAAAGGGGAATAACTCTTGCTTGTCCTAACTCGTCAGGATCCTTTCCTTGGCAAATTGAAAGATTTATAATATGAGTAACCATAGGAGTAATAAAATTAGCTGAATTCTCACTGGAATATTATCTAACCCTGTTGCTTTACTACATTTAAGATTTATTAATTTCTTACTCTCCTTTACTTTAAACAAAAAGCCTCCCGGAAATTAGTAACTTAACTTATCCATTTGACTGTATAAAGAAAGAATGAATAAAGATTTAACCTAATTTATGGCCTAATAGACCATTTGCTGTCTGTCAGATTACATACAATGAACAAGGTGTGGTTGTGAACCCTGTTTGTGATTGTTGGAACGATTACATGACAGGTATAGCGGCACACGAGCGGAGACCAACATGGTGATCATTAACGTCAGGCTGCTGTCGGGGTTTAAGCCAGATGAGACGTCTCTGCAGGCTGTGAGTGACACTTGAAGGGCTCTGGTCCTCTTTTAATATCAAGTTGTGTAGCCAGGGTTTGATTCGTTCTCACTCACTCCTCTGTCTCCACAGCTGAGGGAAGACCCCACAATCAAACGTCTGGATCTGGATGAGGATCATGTCATTTTCACATCACTTGCTCACCAGTGGATCCTCTGCAGTGAATGGGTGCCGTCAGAGTAGGAGTCCAAACAGCTGATAAAAACATTTTTATTATAAACCCAGCAAAATATAATAAATAATAAAATTAAAAAATTATAACAAAAATGGGAAAAACTATTTCCATTTTAATGTCAGTGTTTCCCCTCGGATTACAGCTGCGGGGGCGGGGGCGGGGGACATATTTGACGCGACATATTTTCCGACGCGCAATCTGGTGGGAGTATGCGCACTTGTGTAGGCC